GGGAGTGTTTTCTAATTCCATTTCAGTTCCTTTACTGTTAAAAGGATGGTGGCTCAGTCTGTATGGGGAACAGAACTAAATCTGCAGTAGAAGTGCTGATCTCTTCTAGAGCAGAAAAGCTGTCTCCTGTGTTTGGTATCTAAAGACATTTGCAGTTAACAGAACAGCCAGTACCCCTTGGCTGTGCATCAGGGCTGCTTGTGCATGCTAGGAACAGTGACCATGGTAAGTCACTGCCCTAACCAGTGCCAGAGCCTTCCGAAGATCTTCACACCCTCTGGTGGACTAAGTCTTTCACTCTGCCTGTGCTTGCTGCTGTTCACTCAGACTGAGAACTGGGGGGGTTAAGCTGCTGTTAGAAAGACATCTGTACCAAAACCACCAAGGCCTGCAAAAATCAGCTTGTCTTGCTTCACTCCAGATTTCCTAATGCTAGGATGAGCACTTTGATAGTCCCCTTGATTGCAGGTGACAGTTGCTGACACAACATGAGCAGGGATGGCTTAGGGTGCCTATGGACTAAGTTAAACTGGGGGAGAATGACAACTCTTGCTGGCAGCCATCATTCTAGTCACCACCAGTGAACTGGAAGTGGGACCTCTGCCTAAGGGAACAATGGATTATTGGTTATCAGACCTTGCTCTGCTGTAGCTGCAAGCAGACCCCACTTTGTAGCACTAATGCTTGTTTTTTCCTCTCCAGGGTTGCAGGCCACCCACTGGCACAGAATGAGCGCTGTCTCCACATGTTCTTACAAGATGAAGTAATAGACAAAAACTACACACCATCCAAAATAAGGCATACTTGAGCTCTGAAAGAGTCTTCTCAAACACTAGTGGTTCTTTTGCTTGGTTTTAAAAGGTTGTAGTTTGTCTTAGCATGCTAAGGATAAACAGGCACGGAGTCTCCACTAACATCAGCACACTGCTTGGTCTTTGCATATGCTGTAAAGCATTAAAGAACTCACTTGTCTTCTAGCTAAATCCCTCCAAACCCTTGATTTAAAAGTATTATAACAAGACCATCCACCCCTTGCAATGTCTCACAAACTTTCCCACTCTTATTTGCAATGACTTAACAATGTTTACTGACTTGGCCTTACTTGAACTTGCACAGTTGTAGTGTTGTGTGTCCACTTGTATCTGACTAAACTGCTCTGCTGTTTGAGGTAGTCACCTGTCTGAACTTCTGTAGAAAGACTGCTTTATTTCTGATACCCTGTGTGAGAAACACTTATGCAATTGTCTTCAAGCTTGTAAAACACTTTATACTGAAGTAATGAGGGAATTATCTTTATATTCTGTAAGAGGAAAAAAAAATGAAGTTTATATACTAAATAACTTGTCTAAAGTTTTGAAATAAAAGTGAAAATGCACTTCAAATGTTTTGTCCCTCTTGACCTTGAGTGTGGGGTGTCTCATGCTTTCTGAGAAGCAGGGAGTTGGCTATGCTCAGGGAACTGGTGTTTCAGCCTTGCTGTCCTGCTTGTCTTGCCTTACTAACAACCAGCACACCCTTAGATGCTGGGATTCACTTATTAAATGTTAAAGAACATATAAAGGTATTGAGGGCTGTTCCTGTGTTGTGGAGCCAAAGCTGGAACCCCATTCGTGGGAGACAGTCAACACATCTGTGGCTTCCATCAGTTTGGGAGAAGAGTGCCTTTCTGCTTGGCATGAGATGCATCAACCTATCTGCAGCCAGCAAATGAAAATGATACCATTCTTCAGAGAAAGGAATGTTGACATAACCCATGGTATAACTTCAGTCCTAGATTAAAGCAGCTCTGCTCTACATCTAGGGCCATGAAGGCATATGAGCCTGCTCTGAGATGTGGTCATTGACCAGTGCTGTGCTTGTGACCACTGGTCACATGCAGGTGGTTGATGCCTGGACTGCAGCTTACAAAGGGCTCTGCTGAAGACTTTTTTCCTCATTAGATGCTTCTGTGGTTGGAGAAGCTTCCTTAGTGCTTCCAAACATGACAAAGGAGTTACCTTTCCAGATGTTCTTAGATCCAAGAATGCTGTAGTAGCAACCTGATCTAGGGGGATTTTGTGCTGTTTGGCACATGTTGGTTTAGACTTCCACTGTAGCTTTTTCCTTCTTATAACACTAATCTCCATTGATAACATCCTGCAATCTTACTGTCAAAGTTATTAATTTCATATCTCAACAGTCCTACTGATGAAACCAGGGACCAAAACTGACAGCCCACGTGCAGCCTGTCTAGCTTTTCAAGTAGTATTTGATGTTGCAAAATCAATTCTAAAATTCCCTGTCTTTGTTGAGTAAACACTTAAAGGTTGAGTTACTCTTGGAAATGGGGAAAGAAAGGCTAAATGTAAAATAATTTTTATTGTTTGGGCTTAGATACAGAGTCAAGTTTTTGTGTTGTTTTTCTGAAAAGTTCTTTTATGAGAAGCTTTTTTCAGAAATCAAAGTAAATGCCTGATCTTATCCTTAAAAAGATGATGACACAATCTGTATAATCTGCTGTGGAAAAAATAATTAGGCTGAAGAGGGAAAAGCTGCATACTTGATGTAAAAATATTCCTATTTCCAAAGGGAGAACTTTGGAGTGCTAACCTCTGAGGTTGACAGGACACCTGCACTGGACTGTGAGATTTCACCCAAGCTTCAAGGCTGCTCAGAGACCCTGATTCTAGTGCAGCACAACTGGGTCTGCTTCTGTATGATCTGCAGTACTGGGCTGAGATTAGGCAGGGATCTGGGTGTTCCCAGCTCAGGGGTCTGCTTTGCAGCTGGGCTAGGTCCTGCAGGTAGGAGGGTGAGTTATGGGTGTGCACCATTGCCCTGCCTGCTTTGCAACTGGGAGGAAGCATCCTCTGGCCTGGGTGACCTAGAGACACTACAGAGTGTGACTGCAGCTCAGGCTCATTGTTGCTCTGGGACAGCAGCATGGATCTTCCTGAAAGAAGTGCAGGGACAAGCTCTCTTCTCTTGTGCCCTGTGATAGGATGAGGGGCAACGGGTTCAAAACTCAAGCACAGGAAGTTCCACCTCAACAGGAGGAAGAATGTCTTTCCTGTGAGGGTGACAGATCCCTGGGACAGGCTGCCCAGAGAGGCTGTGGAGTCTCCTGCTCTGGAGACTTTCAAGACCTATCTGGTTGCCTTTCTGAGTGACCTGCCCTAGTTGTTGGGGGCTTTATCAGTCCTGCTCTGGCAGTGGGGTTGGACTTGATGATCTTTGGAGGTCCCTTCCAACCCCTAATATCATGTGATGCTGTGAAGTGTTGTGTCATGGGTTCTGCACTGCACTGGATTCAACTTCTTTAGCTCATAAACTGGATTGTCACAGAGTGAAGAGCCACAGTTGATTTTCTGCCCTGTCCAGTTCTTAGTGTAGAGAGGAGAAGGTGGTTGAAGGTTACTACAGGTGCAGAAAGAACACTTAATGCACTGTTGGTCTCTGTCTAAGAATGGTAAATGCATTCTCAAGTGCTCCCTGCTAGTTTGTATAGAAGATGTTTCAAAGTCCTGTAGTCCACACTTTGTCTCACCCCACAGTGAAAGACTGGTTTTTGTGGTCTGTCTTGGAAAGAGCAGAATGTGAGACCTAGGAGGTTGTGCACATGGAAGACAGATGGGGTGAGAACTTTGTCCTCTGAGTGAGTGAGGTGAGCTTGGGGTCAATCACAGAATCCTAGAATGGCAGGTTGGAAAGGACCTCAAGGATCATCTGGCCCAACCTCTCTAGGCACTACTCTAGTTGACATGAGGTGGCTCAGCTCCCTGTCAAGCTGAGACTTCAACCTGCCCAATGTGGGGGAATCCACCACTTCCCTTGGGAGACTATTCCAATGTTGAACTGTCCTATGGTGGAAAAATTTACCGAGGGAGCAAGGATTTCACTTGTGATCTGTGTTCCCAGACACTCAGAGCCAATGAGCCACTAATACACATGGTGCATTTCCAGCTGTTCTTTTGGTGTGCACAGCTCTTCAGTCCCTGGTGGCTGTATCAACAACGTACGTCTCACTTTGCCAACTTGTTCCTGAGCACTGGGAGTTGGTTGCCTCTTTCTTTGGTGTTATTGCACAATTCAACACCTTAGTAGAATCTCAGAATCTTTTACTTGAAGCTGGATTTTTGTACTTGTCACCTTTTGTTAACTGCCTGATTCACCAATATCAAAAAGATGGCAATAACATGAAGCAGAACTTACACTGGTTGGAGCTCTGATGCCTTTGGTGGCGTGTCCTGGAAAATATTCTGTGTCAGCTCCTCAAGAAGGAATCTTGCAGCAGGTGTATACTTGAATTACAGAAAATGGCTCTATGCAGGACCTCCAAGTCCCTTTGCCCCAAGGCAGGATCAGCAAAGCTTTTCCTTTCATATTTGTCTAACCTGTTTTTTAAAACCTCTGATGATGGAGGTTTTAAAGCATCCAAGGCAACCTCTATTTTAGTAGATAATATTTCTGTTCCCTAGTAAGTTTGGTACAGTGGAAGGAACTAATCCAGAAACAGCAGGACAGGCCTTAAAAGAACAGTGGAATGTAATTTAAATTCAATATATTTTTATTCTTTTGTAAATACAATGAGTACAACTTTTTAACTTCACAAATCAGTTAATCCACTTTGTACAGGAAAAGTTTTACTCATTCTATGATAGTCCAAGTGCTGATTTTTCTCAGTGCTAGTTCCTAAAAACAAATGAAATTTTGAAAAGTACAGCAGCTATCTTTAAACGTTTGTTGTTGGGGGTTTTTTTCCTACATTTTTCATACATCAAATAAGCAGCTGATAACAATTGTGTGTGTGAGAGGGTGTTGGTGAACAAGGCTTCAAAATTAGAACCTGGAGTTTTCTAAAAAGGCATCGGAGACTTTTGGAAATTGTTAGCGTAGGATCAATCAAGAACCTTTATTTCTTTGAAATAAAATTCCTTCCATTGATTGATTTCTGTTTTATTTTTTAATAGTCATTTTCCTTCTCTGCACATCTCATTGACAAAGAGTTTGGCCACCATTGCCTTTGGTTTGAGCACTGAGCCACCAGGACCCCCAGCAGGTCACTGAAGCGGTCATCTCCATCCTATTTGGTTTTGCTGTTTTTTAGTCTTCCTTTCTTGACTCCTATCTTCTCAGCTGGGTGGGTGTGAAGGTGTGTCTGCATGTGTGGAAGAAGGAGGGAAGGTAGGGCAGAGAAGTGTATAAAGCTCTTCTGCCTTTGAGATGTTAACCCAGCAACTTGTGGTGGCATCCGCATCAAAGGTCACCAGTTGGTTTTGCAGGAAGAACAGAGCTGCCGTCATAAGCTACTTTGAAAATCAGTTCTGAAGGCCACTTCATGATGTATTGTAGCAGAAGCAGTGTTTTGGTAACCTGGTCTTAAATGTTGCCTACCATATTAAAAACACTTTCCCAACATAGGCTACTTTTAAAACAGTTCTGAAGGCCACGGCATCTCATGTTACAACAGAAGCCAAGTGTGGTCGCCCGGTTCCAAATACTGAACAAGCTAAAGTACCTTCTTTCACATTTTGTCTCAGATCTGCCAGTTAAATGAGAGAATAGCAGAGTCTTTGTTAACAGTGACTGGCATCTGAATTGCCTCCATCCTGTAGTCACAGGAACAGCAGCCAAATCCCAACCACTTTCACTTTTTCTGTGGAACAAAGCATTCTCTCCATGATCTAAATCACTCTGTTCAGAGCAGCAGAATCATATCTACTGGGGTATTTTTTTTTGTCAATGGGTTTAAAGGCTAAACATTCCCAGGCTTATGCTTCCTGTAGATTTTGTTAGTTGAGGCTTATTCTCCAGTGATAAAAAAAAAAAAAAGAAAAAAGAAAAAAAGTTGTTCTCAAACTGTCCATCCTTGTTTATTTGAAGGTCATTTAGATGTCACTGGATTTGTACATATCTGAAAGCAGTCTTGTGATGGGTACATTCCCAATGGTCTTTTTGAAAAACACTTCTTCTATTGTTGATGGGCTAATGGAACGTAAAGCTGGTAAAAGCAATAAAAGTTTCCCAAAACGACAGGGTTGTGTGGGATACCTGGGAGACAGAGAGAGAGAGAAACAGGGTGTTGAAGTTTTTTGGGCTATTTTTCTGAAGAAAAACTTTTACATGGCAGAAAAGACCCAACAGGTTGTACAGTTGGTGGGTGTCCCACCAAGAGGTTGCAGGGGTTTTTCTTTTTGCTCTGAACTAGCCAGAGCTGGATGGTATTTGCAATGTTGTTCCCATCCCCAGGGCAGGTCCTTCCCTTTGCACTAAATAGAAGTGCTTCAGAGGCTGCTGCCATCCTGTCTTGGACACTGAGTTGTCTTCTGCTAGGCAGAGCTATTACATGTGCAGATCAAAGTTTCAGAAAGAAAAAAATGGTGTAAAGGTTCCTCTTCCACTGCTACATCTACTTAGCTAGTCTCCACTGCAGCCAAAGGACTCAGACACAAACTTTAAAAAACTTGTCTGAGCTGTCACCAGAAGTTCTGAGCTCTCACCAGAAGTTCTGAGCCAGCCAGAGCAGCTGTTGGAAGAGATACCAGGTCCACTCTTTTGGGTTCTCCCCTGTCTCACCACTGTGAAGTGGTCCACAGGAAGAGGCTCTATTCACAGCCAGCTCTTCTAGAGGGTGGGGTTGTATCTTGCACAGTACATGTCATGCTTTCCTGGGCTTACCCCTCCAGGCTTTGTGGGATGGCAGCTACACCTTTTACAGAAGGTTTTAGGATTTCAGTCTCCCGTGGGACTTATCCTGAATGAGACAGAGGGGAATGTTTTCTTCCCAAAGAACGATTCTCATTGCTCTGCTGTGGCACCAAAATGAGATTAATGAGGTCTGGGATTTTTATTTCAATCTGAGAACAGACTCAGAAGAGAGTCTTGAAAGAGCCATTAACATGAAACTTTGGCTTCTGCAAAATGGGGGAACTGACATGGGAGGTGGGTTGGAGCTCATGGGTCAGAAGTGCTTATGCTTCTGTGAGCTGTGGTGTTGTTTTCATCATAGCTATTAGCAGCATTTAACTGAATTAAATATAGAGGAAAATGCAGCCTTTGAACTGCAAAGTGTTCCACAGCAGGTATCACTTCCCAGGGGAAGAACTCTCCTTTTACTACTTTTCCATTTGTTTGAATTCATTGAAGTGTGTCCAAAGAAGAGTGACGAAGCTGATGAAGGGTCTAGAGGAACAAGTCTTATGAGGAGTGTCTGAGGGAGCTGGGGTTGTTCAGCCTGGAGAAAAGGAGGCTGAGGGAAGACCTTCTGCTCTCTACAACCACCCGAAAGGAGGTTGTAAAAAGGTGGGGGTTGATCTCCCAAGTAGCAAGCAATGAGAGGAAATGGACCCAAGTTTTGCCAAGAGAGGTTTCGATTGGATATTAGAAATAATTTCTTCCCCAAAAGGGTTGTCAGGCCCTGGCCCAGGCTGCTCAGGGCAGTGGTGGAGTCCCCATCCCTGGAGGTATTCAGAAGCCCTGTAGATGTGGTGCTGAGGCACATGGGTTAGTGGTGGCCTCGGCAGGGCTGGGTTGATGGTTGGACTTGATGATCTTAAGGGTCTTTTCCAACCAAAACGGTTCCACGACTCTCATCAGGAAATGCCAAATCCCAGCAAGCTGGCAGCCAGCCTAACAGCCTGGTCCCCGTTTCAGCCAGTGAAAATGCCACTTTGGCTGCAGTGAGGGTAGGATTTGACCTGGGAGCAGCCCCCCTCTCACCTGGTATGGATGTAGCTGTTCAGGGTGAGCTGGGCTTCATCCTGGAGGGCTGCGATGGCCGCGGCATTTCGGAAGCTCCTCAGTTCGGAACCGCTGTGTGTAGGCACTGGAAAGCAGACCAGTTACTGTTCTAGTTGCTAGTTACTAGTTCAGCTTGGCTCATGGGTGGGTCAAAACAGTTCAGCCAGAGCCACCAGTGGGAATTAAACCTTCCCAGCACTCGCTGTCAGCCTTTCAAAAAGCAACACTGACTTACTGGCATTCGACAGCAGGAAACCTGTGGGGTGGTATCAAACTGTGCCTGGTTTAAAACATCCTTGTAGCTTTAAAGTAGCAAGGTCAGAGTCATCAGACAAGACAAGCAAGAAGATTCTTTCTGCTTACCAGCTTTAAAAGTGACAATGCATTTGAGACAGGCAAATTCAGTAGCATCTAACCGGAGTTGTCTAAATCTGGCCACAACCTCCTGCAAAGCCTGTATTTCTGAAATGATTTTATTCAGCTTCTGAGAATCTGTATTGTCACCGTTCATGCCTAAAGCAGAAAGACATGAAAGAAATCATATGAAAGGCATTTGCTTTATTTTACATTGATTTCTGACAAAATCCTGTGTATCAATATCCACTCTATTGTCACACTTGTCTATCTGGTTCCATGTAAACTGACCATATTGTATGAAAGTTAATATAAAATCTTCTCTTGGATGATAACAAACACAGTAATTTGCATTTAAATGACAATGCAAGCAGTCATGAATACAACAAAACAACATTATTTGCATTTAAATATAGATTTATAAGTGACAGGTATGCTCTATTGTTCAGTAGGAATTTGTTATTCTTTACATGTTGTTCTTTTTTCAGTAATGTATTTTTATGGTAATTTTTGTAACAAAGTCATTAAATTGTGCAATTCTTACCAGATACAGCCAGTAGAGTGTTAGCATCAACTGGAATGGCCCATTGTGCTATTCCTAGAACAAACAGTTCTCTCCAAGCATCTTCCAAAAGCATCAGCTGTCATACAATAGATGTACAATATAACATAGTGTATAATTTATAGATTTATAAACAATTTAAATATGTAAATTTCTGTTATTTTAAAAACCACTTGACATGCCTGTCATGATATTTTCCCCACAGCATTTGTTAGCTCTTCTCTTAGCTTTTGGAGAAGGTGTCTAGAGATAAAGTCTGTGTGTTGTAGGGTTGGATCACTGTGTTGAGGACCAAAAGGGAGGAGAAGGAGAAGGGAGAGTGAGGACTCCTGCCCCAGGGAGCTTGCTCACAGCATGAAGAGCTCAGCCTGGGCTCTTTCCTCTCCCTCAGCACCCTATGGCTGTCCTAGGACAAGTTGGATGAGTGCTCTCCCATTGCTCCCTAGGGATTACCCTCCTTTCTCTCTGGAAGGCAGGATTTGTGAAGAAAAGCCTGGACAATGTCCTGAAAGTAGGGAGCACATATGTATCTTTAACCCCTTCCTTACTAAGCGAGTCTTCAGCTCTTTCAAAGCACAACATCTGGACACACAAATGGTTTCTCAGTGTCACCAATTTCCTTGCTTTTTGCTGAAAATTACTCAGAAATTCCAGGCACTGTTTCCTTTCAGAGAACCAATCACCCAAGCACCTACAGTGCCAGCATTCCTGGTTCTCTGCTGTTGTTGGACACTGCCTGATTGTTTTTGGGGGTGTTGCTCTCTCTTTGGAGGCAATGCCTTTGGTTTCCATGGAGAGACAGGGGTGCATCTGAAGAGGAGACATGACTCCTGGTGATGCAGACTGGCAAAGCCAGGATGGACATGTTTAGTCTTGAAGGCATCTTTGGATTCTTGGCCCAGACCAACTCTTAAGAAGGGTTTGGAGGGAGTTCAGCTGAACTTCATGGCCTAAAGGACATGCTGGGACCTCATGTCTCTTAATAGGGTGGGAGAAATTTGAAGGGTGATAATTGTAGAGGGCTCAGGAGGGTTTGTCTGGTGGCTCCAGGCAGTGGAAACAGATTGCCCAAAACTCATGCAGAAAACACCCAAACCAAAAGTATTGCTATGGTCCCTGAAAGTATCAGCAGCTCAGCTTCTTAGGAACATAGGAAGGAAGGTATTTTAAGTGTATAAAGGTTCTGTAAAGGAAAGAATGAAGTAAAAAAAAAAAAAAAGTTTATGGAGTCTCGGAATTATGGAATTGTCAGAGTTGACAGGAAGCTCTAGACATCATCTAGTCCAACTCTGCCACTGAAGTAGGATCCCCTGGAGCACATCCCACAGGGCTGCATCCAGGGGTGAATCTCTCCAGAGAAGGGGCCTCCACAGCCCCCTGGGCAGCCTGTCCCAGGGCTCTGTCACCCTCACAGCCAAGAAGTTTCTCCCCACCTTTCAGGGGCACTTCCCATGTTCCAGTTGGTGCCCGTTGGCCCTCGCCCTGTTCCTTGGCACTGCTGAGCCGAGTCTGGCTCCATCCTCCTGCACCCACCCTCAGACACGTGTAGGCAGTGAGCAGGTCTCCCCTCAGCCTTCTCTTCTCCAGGCTGAGCAGCCCCAGCTCCCTCAGCCTTTCCTCATCAGGGAGATGCTCCAGTTCCCCAGTCATCTTTGTCACCCTCCCCTGGACTCTCTCCAGCAGTTCCCTGTCTCTCTTGAACTGGGGAGCCCAAAACTGGACACAACACTCCAGATGTGACCTCCCCAGGGCAGAGCAGAGGGGCAGGATGACCTCTCTCCACTTCCTGTCCACACTTCCTTATGCACCCCTTGGAATCAGGTATGAGGGAGAAATAGATGATACAGAAAACATGCAGTGAGAGTGAGTCCTTCACTCTTAACAGTATTGTGAGTTTTAAACCACCCTGTTCCAATCAGAATGAGAGGAAGTGCTTTCAGACTCTCTGCTCTCAGCTTGTCCCTCCAGACTTAAGGTCATTTTGTGCTTTTTTGTGTGCTTTGCAGAACTTCTACATAACTTGGCTAAAAAAAAATCACAGTGATGGGGAAGTATTTCTGTCTCTGTGCATAAGGTTGGTGTTTGAAATAATTACAATGGGTTTCACAGGACTGGAAGCTGGGAAAGGGTGTCCAGGGCGCAGTGCCCATCTCAGCTCTGTTCTGAGAGCAACCAAACCTGCTCCTAAGCCTCCTAACTGCTGCTGCCTGGGAACTCAGCCCCTCCTCTGTGCACCTTTCAGTGTGACATAGGAAAGGATTCACCAGCCTTTCATTGCTTTTCTAAGTCTTTTTTTTTTTGGTCATTCATTCATGCAGATACAATGGTGATGGTTCCTGGAAGGTATCAATTTCATATGTTCTTTCCCACAAAGTCTTTAAAGTCAGAAGACTTAAGAAATAAGAGACTATTCCAATAGCTGAAGCTTTCTTCATGCCTGTGCATAAGTCTGCAAAACCACCAATTAAAATAATTCATGCTGAAGTCATATTCAGCCCTCTCTCTTCAAAGAAACGGGAAACAACAGGCTTTCTGAAGGACTGGTTTTTAGCTTCCTAATCAGCCCCCTCCTGTTAGTGCAACCTTTTGTTGGTGACCTGCATTGGGCCAACCTGGCTTATGGACAAGCTGGGCAGGTGTGCAGGCCAGCAGAACTTGGAGCATTTCTGTTGTGTGGCTTCCAGTCCATGATGGAGTTAGCTCTGTGGAGCTGGGGAAGGGAGACTGTTTCAGCAAGGATAGTAACACAGCAATCCTTGGCCTTATGTTTTGTCAGCAAATTGGTTTCTACTTATTTCTTTGCCTTGGAGATGAAACTGTCACAGAGGCCTGGAATCACAAGGGGTTTGCCTTTTTGGAAAAGCACAACAAAAATAAAATCCAGGAGAAGGTTTTAGACTCTTCTTGGGCAGATGTGAGGGGTGCAATAAGAGAAATGCAGACAGACATCTACAAATTAAGTAATACAATGGCACTGTTATAAAAATCAACTGATTATTAATGAAATAAGGTGATTAAAATCAGAACTATTTCTTCTCTGGGTCTCCTAAATATGACAAGGGAATCGTGCATAAAGAGGCCCAGGTCAGAGCTGTAGAGCTGCACAGCTTTGAGTTTTGAGAAAGCTGGGTGGCACTGAAGGGCAGTGAGTCAAGGTGATGTTTGGGAAAGGCTGGGATTTTAATCAATAAGTCAATAAAGTTGGTCCCTGGTGTGAAAGAGGCAGTGGGTTGTTTAAAGGTAACGGGACACTCTGGTATCTGTGCTGTCTCAGACATGCTTGGTCCTGTGCAATGGAGTCTTCCCTTGCTCCCAAATCCTGCTGCCCCCTCCTCTGCACACTGACAGAGGTGACCTCATGGGAAATGCATCCAGTTTATGTCAAATGAAGCCTTCACCCAAGGACCCTCTTGTGGACCCCACTGGTCTAGAGAA